AAAATACATCACTAAAATTAATCTCACCTGTTTCTGTTTACTTTTTTTAATGTAGCTCCTAGAAAACGTTAAATTACATCTGTGATTTACATTCTGTTTTCATTGAACAATGCTGGTCTAGAATCAGGTTCTCACAGCGCCAGTGGACGAACCCAATTCTCTACCGGCCTCTGCTTCCAGGCCTTATGGTTTCAGGATCTTTTCTCTCCTGCCACTTCTTTTTAATAATTTTCCTATTTTTTTTATTAATTTTATTTTATAATGTTATGTTAGTCACCAGACATTACATCATTAGGTTTTTTTTTTAAATTTTTTTTTATTCTTATGTTAATCCCCATACATTACATCATTAGTTTTAGATGAAGTGTTCCATGATTTATTGTTTGTGCATAACACCCAGTGCTCCATGCAGTACGTGCCCTCCTTAATACCCATGCCCGGGCTAAACCCATCCCCCCACCCCCCTCTCCTCTAGAACCCTCAGTTTGTTTCTCAGAGTCCATAGTCTCTCATGGTTCGTCTCCCCCTCCGATTTCCCCTTAATAATTTTCCTATTAACAAAGTTCTCCGTTTGTTTGGGGAAGTCACCATAATTCCTCTACATCATATTCTGGTTCTGGTGTTGCTCCCCACATGTGGTACCCTGCCTGTTCAACTTCCTCTAGCAACCACTGACAAGTCACCTCTTGCTTCTTTGGTCTCAGGAGTGTCTCCCACATTTCTGCCACTCTACTCAGAATGTGCTCCCCAGCAGGTCCTCCATGTTCAGTCCCACCTCATACTGATGACTCCTGCCCTTTGTTTTCGGCCCATACTTACGTGTCCCTTTTGTATGGCTACATCACACACATGCACTTGTGTCTATTTCTTGCCTCCCCCATTGGGTTGTGAGTGCCACAAAGGTGAGGGCTGTTTCCACCCCTCCCATTTTCCAAGGTCAGGTGGATAGCATGTGGAAGATTACAAGCTTGGCTTTTAGACATCCATGTTCAATTTCAGTCTCCCCCTGGGCAACTGTGTGGCCTTGAACACATCACATAACTCTCTCAGCCACGTTTCCTCCTAATTGGAAAATCAGCAGAAGAATAATAACATTACCGAATAGGGTAGTTGGAGTGTCAGTGTTTTATGTTTAGATACTATCAGAGGAACTTCTATTTTTTATTTAAGTCTGTTTTCAAACTCCGGCAAAATGGGGTCAGCGGGCAGCATGCAGTTTCCAGTGCCAACAGTTAGTCTGTGATGACACTCTGGTTTGTTTCAAGTTCCATGTCATGAGAAGTGGTTAACGATAATTTCAGCCCAGGAACCACTAACCTCTCCTTCGCCAGGGAGGATTTCTCATAACTACTCAAACACATTTCATGACTTTTGACAAAAGATTAAAATTTAGGTATATGATAAAATACTTGTTAGCAAAGAGCTCTTTTTATGTTTCTCATAGAAAGACACAGCTCAGGCCACCTTTTGTTTATATTAGGGCGAAGTCTAGTCTTGCTGATAGGTGCTTCAACCTGATTTGCTGTTAAAAACATTTATCTCCCTGGCTTATAGTCTTCATCCCTTGTTTCTCTTATCAGGAAAAAGAAACAATTCAAAGCATAATACTTAAATAAAAAGTACTTTTAGGTCCACGTGATTGTCTTTTTTGTTTTATTTTAATTAAGCTGATTTCTTACGTAAAAAGAGGCTCTTATTAGTAATTGCATATTTTTCTTTATCAAAAAGGAGGCTAGGTGTGCCTGGGTGGCTCAGCTGGTTAAGCATCTGCCTGACTCTTGATTTTGACTCAGGTCATGATCTCAGGGTCCTGAGATTGAGCCCTGTACTGGGCTCCATGCTGGGTGTAGACAGCCTGCTTAAGTTTCTCTCTCTCCCTCTCCCTCTGCACCCCCACCCCCCACCACTCATGCTCACTCTGTCTCTCTCTAAAAAAAAAAAACTATATTCAGTTTTCAGGAGGGTAAATAAGATATTACCTTTTAACACTTTATTTTTTTTTAAGATTTTATTTATTTGTTTGAGAGAGACAGAGCACAAGCAGGGGGGACAGCAGAAGGAGAGGGAGAAGCAGGCTTCACACTGAGCAGGGAGCCCAGTGCAGGGCTTGATCACAGGACCCCAGGATCATGACCTGAGCTGAAGGCAGACACTTAACCAACTGAGCCACCCAGGCGCCCCTTCCTTTTAGCACTTTACACAGTGCCTGGCTCAGAGTCAATGAATACTAGGAACTTGGGGTAGTATGATACTGTCGCATCACAGGCATATACAAATTTTGGCTGAACAGCACGTGAGTTTGATATCTGAGTGACATGACATTTTATCAGTGTTAAAATGGTATCTTGTGAATATTAAAACGTAGGTTGTAATGTAATTCAAGGTTTTGGTACGAAAATCAACAGAAATCACTGTCATGACTTGCTGTTTGAAATTCTTTGATTTTTTATAAAATACCCATATTTACTTTCATAACTGTTTCATTTCTTTTCTGAATGAGTTCAGGGCTGTGGTGCCAAGCACATCTCTGCATACAGCATATTTGGGGAGGGATAGATTTTATTCTTAATAAGTAAGAAGCCAGGTTGTAATCAATCACTATATTTTCTCCTTTCACATTTTAAGAAGTAGAGACATTTCAAGGAGAAACAATGAGGACTTTATTTGGACATTTGCAGCTTAACTATATGGTGACAAGTGTCTTGAATATGCAGAATCATTTCATTAATTTGTATTTTGACATTGGTGTATTGTCTGCTTGTCCCTAAGTAATGACCAGGTACGAACATAATTAAATATGTGGCTAAAAGTAGATTAAAGAGAAGTAGAGCTCAAAAGCTCCGTAGCAGCAGCAACATTTAGCTGAGTGACACACCAGCTGAGGGATGGTGAGACCACGTGACCAGGCCACCCACACACCTGTCTGCCCTCTGCCAGCTACTGGGACTGTGCATGCAGGATCCCTTCCCCACCCCCCCCACCCCCCGCCAGCTCTCCATAGGTTACATTTCTATGGAAGATACATAATATATATCCCCACCCCCAAAAAAGCCCAACCAAACAAAAATGACAAAGATGCTCCCATTACCTTGGAAGATGCTTTCTCCAGCTACACCGAGAAGAGCTGTCCTATCTGTGAAACACAGCCCCTTGCACTTTCTGTCCGCGGTCAATCAGCCCAGCTCACACTGGATGCATTCCCTGCCAGCCAGACGATGTCTTCACCTACCACCTCACAGTAGTCTCAATCTAGGATGGTGATGACACATACAAAAGCTTGTGACTGCCTCTGGTTGCCCTAGAAATCAACCCAAGGCATCCTGAAGGATCAACAGTGGAGAGCGGGAAGCCTGAGAGGGCCGGGAAGGTGCTGGCTGAACAGGACCTTGCAGAACAGAGAATGAGGGACTGGAGCCCAGCCCTGGGAAAGCAGACGCTGTGAGGAAGAGGGCGAAGAAGCAAGCATGTTGTTCGCAAAGCTGGCAATGGATAGGACACTGGCAGAAAAAAACCGCACGGAAGATGCGCAGCACAAGGCTACTCGCGGGGTGGCCCCTGGCGCCGGGCGGGGAGGGTGCGAGGGGAGCCCAGGGAAGGACCGAATGGCAGCGCGGACCCCACCCTCACGCTGTCCCCCGGTGACAGACTCAGAATGGTTGGATCTGAGTGCGGAAGAACAGTAGGTATTATTTCCTTCCATTTTGAGTTAAAGGCAGGAGAATGTTCGATTATCTGGGAACGAGTGTAGCACAGGAACGAAAATGTGCTCTGAGTCGCGCAGGCGCACATCCTGCCTCTGAAACAGGGGTCACGGAACCTCTCTGGCCTCAAGTGTCTTTGCAGTGAGGCCTGATGAGTGCCTCCCTCGCGGACTGTGTGGGAGACGAAGTAAAAGGACCCACTAAGGCCCCCGCACATCACCCAGTGTATAGTAAGCTCAGTAAATGCTGTTATGGAGATAATATAAGAACCTCAAGGAAAAAAACATGAAAGCGGAAGCAGGAGTCTGTTTAAGAAATTAGCTTTACTTACACGGTAACTATAGTTTTGTTTTTTTATCTGTCTATATTATTAAATCCTCTTTTGCTGCAAAGAGAAGTCAGAGAGGGGAGCCTGGGTGGTTCAGTCGGTAAAGCATCTGCCTTGGGCTCAGGTCATGATCTCAGGGGCCTGGGATCGAGCCGCGCGTCGGGCTCCTTGCTCAGCAGGGAGTCTGCTTCTCCCTCTGCCCCTCACCCTGCTCTCGTGCTCTCTCTCACTCTCAAATAAATAAAATCTTAATGAAAAAGAGAGAAGTCAGAGAAACAATATTTACAACCCAGGTTGCTAAACAGAATCTATTTGCTAACTAAGCAGGTTAAGAAATAAGAGTTCTCCAGGATACCTAAATGTGACTGCAAATTTCTCGGCTGTATTTTCCTGCATTAAATTAAAAAACAAAAGAAAACAAATTTTCTTGCCATCAAATTGTTTTATTGGCTATCTAAAATATAAACATTTGACAAGAATCATGAAACGTTACAGTTAGCTGTTGTTGGAAATTAATGATAGCTTATAAATTATACTATTTATAATTTTATGCATAACTGAACTTAAAAGGGACTGACTAGCTTTGAGAACTTATTTTCTCATCCAAGGCAAGGTTCTTTGTTCTACGAACAATTATACAAACCACGGTTTGTGGAATTTGAAATAGCAACTCAGCCTCCCCTCTCCAGTGTTAAAATAAAGGTATTTCTGTTAGCCGCAACCTCAAACTCAATATGGCTCTTTATTCATATTTTTATCAGAGAGCATTCCTTCCTTGCTTCAAGGAAAGCTACAAGTTAGCAAAAGTCCCGCCTATTGGCACAGAGAAATGCCTCTTGCTATCGAAAAGTGTGTGACAAACATGTGAAAAGCAAGTCCCAAATCAACACCCTACCTCAATTCACACCAGGGCCAGGTTTCCTGAAACCTTTCTCCAAATCCTAGTGCGATTTCTCTTTTTAATCTTCCAGATTGGCCTGGGCCAGAAACACTCAGGACCCTCGGATTGCAGTGGGTTCCCAGTCCCCAATAGAAAAGAAGATTAAGGTGAGGAAATATGTTTGCCATGAACTCTGGAGTCAGTAATACCATCATAAAAAGTTTCTCCCCAAGGTAGAAAGGGCCTGAGTGTGTCAAGCCAAAGTGCTTCGTCTGTTGGGCTTGGTTCCGGCTAGACAGCACTGAACAAAGCAAACATCGCTTATGCCCCCACAGGGCCAGGGCAAGTGAGGGACGTGGACACTGAACAGTTACTACAAATTGTGATAAGGGTCATGAAAGATGGGATTTTATTTGAACAAATACGTGGAAGGTCTGAGGAAGTAACATTTAAGCTAAAACCTAAAGATTACGTACATAATACTGTAGTCAGAGTTGCTGTATTGTGTGTTTGGGAGTCTGTGAAGGAGGAACATGTGAAAATACTCAGATGGCAAAGAATATGGTTTTTGAGGAACAGAAAAGTCAGTGTGGCTGCAGCAGAGTGGACAAGCAGGTGAGCTGAGAGGCAGTCAGGAGCCAAATTATGAAAGCCATAACTGGGATTTGGGATTTTCTCCTCAAAGCAACAGGACACTCTCCTAGGTTTCAGTGCAGGGAAGGGACATGCTCAGATTTGTGTGATACAGAGATCCCCCCTGGTTGCTGTGTGCGCGGTCTGGTGGGGCTGGGGGCAGAGAGAAGCACAGATTCAGGGAAGCTAGTGAGGCTGCTACCCTAGGGGGCATTTGAAGTTAGTAGGGACAGCCTGAGAAGGGGGAAAGAGAAGGAAGCACGTTGGAAGAAGAGCCAAGTGGAGATGTTAAGTAGATCATATCTAGGGGTGAAGTTGAGAAGTGAGTACAGGTCAGTCTCGTGTGCGTCGATGGTCTTGCTCATCCCTTACTGCCCGCTCTCGAGCAGTCTGAGACACATGGTAGGTCACCTTGTTGAGTGACTGAGAGTGTCCATGCCCAAGAGAGTCTATGCTCTGAGATGAGAATATGCTCATCTTAAGTGACAATTTCTGTTGTATTTTCTTGCATTACATTTAAAAGACAGAACCAGCAAAGTAGGTGGAAGGGTGTGGCCATAAGGTAGGAAGAGAATGAAGGGCTAATCAGTCACCTGGGGATATTTGGCTAATGGCTGGAACAGTCTGGGGGGGGGGGGTGCGGCCAGGATCGCCTTGGTCACATGCCCTTGGCCACAGCCTGGAAGCCAGAGGAAAGTAAAGTACTCAACTCTGTAAAATGCTGCTGAGGTCAAGTATGACAGGGACAGAGACAGGACCACTGAATTTGTTGCTGTGGAGATCCTTCACGACCTAGACGAGAGCAGTCTGGGGGCAGTGAGGGCCTGGAAACCCACCTGAGGAGGACCGAGGGGAAACTGGGCAGTGGGGAAGTGGAGAGGGGTTCTAGGTGTCTGCTTCATGGCACACGGTGAAAGGGAGCCAAGATGGGATGTGCGGCAAAGGAAACGTTTTCCTTTTCTGCTTAAAGATGATATATATACTGGAACATATTTTTATGCTGACGGGAGTGATCCGGTACAGGGGAAATTTTGATGAAGCAGGAAAGAGAACTTGGTAAAAATTTGCAAATTAAGTTCCTGAAGCTTCACAAGGACAGATGGGAGAACTGGCTTTTGATAGACAAAGGGGCAATGTTTCCATTCTAAGGGCAGGGCCCAGGATCCATGCATGGCGGTGGTTCTGGCAATGGGAAGAGGAGGGCGTTCCTGACTGAGTGCTTGTTTTCTCAAGGAAGTCTAAGGCGAACTCTTCAACCGGAGGGGGACCCTGGGGGAGGGGCGTGTGGGAGGTTTGAAGAGAAAGCCAGGGAACACGGCTAAGAGATCCCCCCACCAGGGACATGGTGTCAGAGTGCCAGGAAGAGCTACCAGCCACTTGTGATCTGTATCATGGCCTGCAACAAAAGGACAGCCAACTTAAAAACCTTTTAACACTTCCCTCTGACAAGAGTTTAGGTGGTGTCCATTCTTCAAAAGTGAGGAAATTCTTGCTCCAGAAGTCTCAGCAGGAGAATGAAACACTTCACCAGCTCCAAGCCGTGTCTTTTGACTTCCGGTTTGCCGAAGCAGAGGCGTACTACTGTCGGCAGCATCAACAGATGATGCTGGGGGACGCGTGGAGATCCCTGATGGTTCCAAGGCGGGAAATTAAAAGAGAGAGAGAGAGACCCCGACGTGAAAAAACAGGAGACGCTGAAAGATGGGACTATTTAGTGCCTGAGAGGGAGCTGGGCCACATAGAGAAGCACATATACCGAGCGGAACGAGCCAGAGGCCTCAGAGACCCCAAGTATCGGCTCCTCCCTCAGAAGATTCCAAGCGAAACAGTCTTCCCCAACATATTAACCCTAGGGAAGGAGGAAAAGACTGAAACTATCCAGAAAACCCACAAAACTAAGACCAAAAAGCACAGGGCGGCCTGGGCAAAGGAACAGATCAAGGGGCATCAGGATCGAATGATTCGGGGGAGAGAGCTCACGGAGCAGAGAAATGAGAGACTGCGTGCTTGGAAGATCTCTGCCCCCACTCCTCTCCACAGGCCTGCAACACACCAGGAGGAAGAGAAAGAATTCAAACGGATCACAGCCTACCCGATTGCCTAGCCTTACCAGGAAGCACTCATCGAAGTGACCATCCCCATGGAAAAGTCCAGAAAGGAGGATAACGTAAAAAAGCCACTCCGACGAGAGCTCTTGAGTATGCCACCATTTTTGAGAAGTCAACTAGAGAAAAATAAACTTTAAGTTATTTTCTGGATTATTGTATTTCTTTTTTAGGCTGGCATACTTTGACAACTGTCAGGGCAGTAAAATCCCACACCCCGCATTGTGTTTCTAAGTTTGTTTGCATCAAACTTGGGGGGAAAAAAGTTAAACCGAGTGTTTATTTCAACTATCTGCATAACTGTCCCAAAACTTAGTGACTTAAATCCATCACTGTTTTATTATATCTCACAATTCCGTATTAGGAATTCAGGCAGAACTTGGCTGGGTGATTTTTCTCCCCCATCCCGCACCGCCAGAGCTGCTTGGGGATATTCAGGTGACAGCTGGACTAGAGGGTACAGACCACATGCCCTTGGGGTTGACTAGAAGGCTGGGCTTAGCTGCTCCCAGCCCCCGTCTCCTCTCTCCATGTGGTTTCTGGCCTTATTACACAGTGATTCCGGCTCTGGTGACCTGTCAGACTCCACAAAAGTTCTTTTGACCTAGCCTCCGCAGTCCTAGACCATCACTTCTGCCATATTCTGTTGCTCAGACAAGTCACCAAGATCAGCCCAGACTCAAGGCAGGGAGGAAACAGACTCTTCCTCTCAAAGAAACTTGCAGCCATCTTTTAATCTACTATTCCAAGGCTCTGAAAAGTCCATCATACACGTCTATCCTTCTTTATCCTTTCTATTGTCTTTTATGTTAACACTGCTCATAAAAACTAAACAAGTATTTTTATACAAAGAAACCGACAATTCCACAGCTTCTGGATTGATCTTGACTAAAGAGACCTGGTCCCTCTCTGCAGAAGTAAATACAGACCAAGGGTTTAAAAGCCTGTTGCAGTTATGCAGACAACATATTATCTTGTATTCTCCAATGCACCTGTAATTCTATAGCATGTCAGAAGCCTAAGCCCTAGCTGGAGAGAGACCCAAGACTCTAGGATTTAGCCCCTCAAGGAGCTTATGATCTACCTGGAGAGAACAGAAGTCAAAGCGGCACACGCCCGGGTCTGTGCTATGAAACACTGGTTGGAGAATACAGACTACAGAGTAGGGCAGCTTATGGGCAATGCCAGTCTGAGAATACTCACTCTGGGTGAGAGGTGCTTGGGCAGGGCAGTTAGGACAGCAAGGCCTGGACCCAAACCAGCTACCGTCAGCACAGAAATAAGGCACACCCGGGCCCTGGGGGAACTCCATTGGAAAACATGTGCGGACAACATGACAAGCACAGACAGGGTAACTGAGGTAAGAATGAGGTGCTATTAGAACACAAAGTTCTGGAGGAAAAGAAAGACTTTGGGGATGTTACATGTGTTTGATATTTAAACTATAACATGTATTAGTTGGTTTTTTCCTATTCAAAAGTTTACAATTTTTTTTTTTAAAGTAGGCTCCTTGCCCAACATGGAACTTGAACTCACCACCCCAAGATCAAGAGTCACATGCTCTCCCTATTGAGCCAGCCAGGGGCCCCTCCTATTCTGAAGTTTAAAGAAGAGGAAGTGGCCCATAATCTCCCTGCCCAGATAACTTCTGTTGATACTTTTTTGAGATTTATTTACTTGAGAGAACGAGAGAGAGAGAGAGAAAAAGAGAGAGGGCAAGCACACTAGCAAGGGGAGGGGCAGAGGGAGAAGCAGACTCTCTGCTGAGCAGGGAGCATGACTCGGGGCTCAATCCCAGGACCCTGGGATCATGATCTAAGCCGAAGGTAGGTGCTTAACCCACTAGCCACCCACGTGCCCCAATACTTTTTAAAAATAATGAAAAAGTGCATGGTTAGAAAACTCAATTATAGAAAGATACAAAATGCCAAGTGACAGCTAGGCCACTTTGGTTTCCCAAAGGTCATCCCTCTTTCTTTTTTTAAATTAATTTATTTGAGAGAGAGAGAGCACAAGCAGGAAGGGCAGAGAGAGAAGGACAGGGATCTCAAGCAGACTCCACACTGAGCGTGGAGCCCGATTTGGGGCTTGATTTCATGTCCCTGAGATCATGACCTGAGCTGAAACCAAGAGTCAGACGCTCAACTGACTGAGCCACCCAGGCCCCTTATGTTTCTTGTATGAGCAGAGTTTGACGCAAGTAGAAGACAGGCCAACAAAAGGGAAAAAGGAAGGCAACTCTAAACAGATTTGCTTGAAAAATTGTAATATTAAGACCACATGTGTGATTCCATTAATGTGAAATGTCCAGAATAGGCAACTTTTGACAGAAAATAGGTTATCGGTTGGGGCTAAGGGTTACTAAGGAGACAGGTGAGGAAGGGTACCTGCCACTGGTTGGGGACAAGAATGTTCTGCCTCAGGATGTGGTGGTTACAGAGCCCTGTGAACAGACTGAGAAACAATGAAGTGTTCGCTTTAAATGGGTGAATGATATGGAATGTGAAGTTCAACCAAGACGGAAGAGAAAGCCGGAGTTTAGAGGGGGAGGTGAGCCTGGGTGGAGGCAAGGAGCCTGGTCACATAAGGCCTCCACAGCGCTGCAAGCTGTCTCTCAAGTCTCGAAGGCAGCGGGGAGTCACTGAGAACTGACAAGTGGTTTTGAAGATGTGGAGGGGATGCGAAGGGCGGGCAGGAAGCGGGGGACACCAGACGGGAGTCTGTCGTAGAAATCTGGGCAGGATGGAGAGAATCAAGACACTAGATGGGAGGTCGTGACCAATTAAGGTAGGGGCTGTGGGGGAAAAGAAATCCTAGCTTCTGGGGTGCCTGAGTGGCTCAGTCAGTTAAACATCTGCCTTCGGCTCAGATCATGGTCCCAGAATCCTGGGATCGAGTCCTGCATCGGGCTCTTTGCTCAGTGGGGAGCCTGCTTCTCCCTCTGTCTGCAGCTCCCCCTGCTTGTGCTCTGTCAAATAAATAAATAAAATCTTAAAAAAAAAAAAAAAAAGAAATCCTAGGTTTCTCTGGAGGAAATAAAGTAGTAGAAGTACCCCTATAGGGATTAAGGGAGGACAGATTTGGGAGCTAATTTATACATATGTTTAAAACAGCCCCTATGCTGCCAATAAGCCATTGGTCACGTATGCCTGTAGCTTTTTAGAGTGGAGTCAAAGTTTGGAGAATGTTCAGGATATAGATGTAGGAGAACTCATGAGGGTAAGACGGAGGGGGAAGGAGGTCAGGGAAAGGACCAGATAGAAGGATGTACAGCTTTCCAGGAGTAGAGTGTTTTTTAAGATTTTATTTATTTAGGGCGCCTGGGTGGCTCAGTTGGTTAAGCAACTGCCTTCGGCTCAGGTCATGATCCTGGAGTCCCGGGATCGAGTCCCGCATCGGGCTCCCTGCTCAGCGGGGAGTCTGCTTCGCCCTCTGACCCTCCACCCTCTCATGCTGTCTGTCATTCTCTCTCTCTCAATAAATAAATAAAAATCTTTAAAAAAAATTTTTTTTTAATTTATTTGAGAACGAGTGAGCGAGTGAGTAGGGGGACAGAGGGACAGGCAGACTACAGTGAGCATGGAGCCCGATGCAGGGCCTGACCCAGGACCCTGAGATCATGACCTAAACCGAAATCAAGAGTCCGACGCTTAACCGACTGAGCCACCCGGGCTCCCCTCCAGGAGTGGATCTTTATGTGTCAAATGCACAGCATTCAACCCTGGGATCGAACTATTTGAGAAGGAATCACCAATTTGGCCTAAAACAGCCCCCGGGGAATGCTGGGAATGGAGGTGTTCCTCTGCCCGGGTTCCAGGACGGCCAGAAGGGGAGAGCACCTGTGATCCTTGTTCAAAGAAGAGACAGGACAGTAACTAAGGGTCACGACAGTTGTTTTACGATGAGAGATAACCGTGGTTGAAGGGAAAGCACTAGGTATGGAGGGTGGCGGACACACCTGAGCACCAGGAAGGGCTGGGACCCAGGGAAGGAGGATGTAGAAAGCTGGGGAGTGGGAAAGGGAACCAGAGAGAGACAAAAAAACATCAAGGCCAGGCCTGAAGGGCCAGCAAAGATGGGCAGCCCGGGAGTAGCACCATCCACCCCGCTGGATGGTTTTCCTCTTTGGGATTTGTGCAGAGAGGACTACTGCTGGGGACAGGTATCCAGCCTGGCCTGGCAGAGGAGAGGGCTAAAGAGTTTCCTGTGAGTAAATCACAGGCTGCAACCTATAAAATGGCTGATATGTGACTGCATTTTACCTACAAGAACAACAATTTCGTATAGTTTAACCTAAGATTTGTGGACTTGACCAGCTAACTTTACAGCTAGAGAACCATAATGATATACAGGCCATAACAACCTAACTAAAAAAGTTTTAATGGGACAGGACTGGAGAAAGGACAAACTCTGGCATGATGGGAAAATGAAAAGTAACTACAATTATTTGTGAAGATGGCAGTGAATTTCCTTTAATCAAAGACAACCATGACAAATTCATTAACTATCAAAAGCTACATTTTACTAAAAACAATCTGTCTTTAAAAATGTTTAATCATACAGTATATACAATACATGCTGCTTTCGTCTTTCGATTTCACTATCCATTTGAGTCCTAAAAGAGGGAAAAATAGCTGGTTAACAGTTTATAAATGATAAAATGAATCAAAAGTTCACCTGATATACATAAATAGGATCTAATAACTAGTCCCTTCTCTCTGAATAGAGCCCCAGGCCACGCATATTATATACCTTATGTCTGTTCTGTTTCCCTCAGTTATCTTGGAACAAAAGAAGCTCAGTTAATTGAGGTGCATATTAAGAGTTTACGTTAAGTATTAAAAGCTAATTTGAAACTCTCAAAATTATAGAAAATTTGAGCTAAAAAAAAAAAAACCCTTAAGGATCTAATTCAAAATCCCCCCATTTTACAGACAGATTTGTAGACAAAATGAAGCTGAGTGAGATTAAGTGATCTGCTCAGTGATTTTAAACGAAGGGGATGGAGCAAAGAGAATACAGGTCTTCTGACTCCCACCCACAGCAAATGCCCGATCATCACGAAGATTTCCTTCTAGCATGTTCTACTTCATAAAAATAAAGAAGTGTTTCACAGCGTAACTCAGATTTCAGAAATGCCCATTTACTGACATCATTCCAGGTAATTCTGTCCTAATTCTCCTTTTCTACTTCATAGCTGTAAAACAAGCAAATCAGATCGGACGGTGATGGGAGGGTTCAATATTCTACTTAACCGAAGTAATCCGGAGAAGGGGACTTGCAGCCTCTAGGCCCAAAGTTGCCTTTCTCACAGGCACACACAGTTCTAAGAATGGGGCACTAGAGGGAGGCAAATCCCAATTTCACCCGAATGAAGAAAAGGAAGATGGTCTGGAATGCTAATTAACATTTAATAACACATAGGAAGGACTACCTTTGCTGGCGTCAAGCGCTTAGCCTCTGCTGGCTCTGGCTTGAAGCAATCACAGGCTCTGAAATCTCAAAGGTCTTCACGATCTCCTGGCAGAGAACAAAGAACATTTGGGGACTGGGTTTACCGCAAACGAAGCGGGAGCGGGAAGCAGAACTACCCGGGGGCAACATGCAGAGCTTTACCTCCCAGTCACGGTAACTCAAAGCTATGATTCCTTGATTCCTAATTTGGGTGTTTTGGTCAATTCCCTCACTTTCTTCATTAATATTAACAGGCTCTGTTTGAAAGACAAAAGTTTTCAAAGGTTATCAAATCGCAAGAGGTACTCTGAACAGAAACTGATGAGAAGGAATGAACCTGTATCGAAGACACTTATAATATTACATACTTATTATGATTCCGTGCATCACTGATGTGTTAAGAGTGTTATTACGGTAGTAAGTAATCCATTTGCTTCCATTAAAAAAAAGTACCTCCCGTAGTAGAGTTACACGTGGCAATCATTTGAAAACTTCTGCATTTCCACCTACCAACCTCAGAGCTGAGCCCTAGTGAGTCCAAGAGAAATTGAGAACTATTAAAGTACCAATCAGGGCAATAAAAATACTTGACGCTCTACAGGGGACCTTAGAAAGAAAGGACTCACTGAGCTGGTGAAATTATTCACCTAAGAAAGATCCTCTCGAGGAGAAGAGAGGGAGGTGGCTTCAGGGAAAGAACAGAAGGAAGAAAAGTACAACAGCAACTAGAATTACAAACATTCTCAGAACTGGAGGGACTTTCTTGTTAATCTTGAGGGCAGATGTTGAGTCAATGATGCAGATGAACCCCCTCATTTTAACTGATGACCATGTTTGCAGTATTTCAGTTAGTTGAGCAAGATAGAGCACTGTAAAAGTTACCTAAAATGCAAACTCGGTTACATTCAGGAAACTGCATTTCATGAACTCGAATAACACATACATTTTCTCTAAAACTAATTTTTCTTAACATAGTATCATTTACCTATTATTGGCAGTCGGTCTTGGTCAAGCTTTATTCTTGCAAAACCATCCTAAAACACAAACATAATTTTAGATTTAGATTCAAAAGCCGATTTAAAAAATTACATTCAAAACCTATCATCATTGGATAAAAAACATTATTAATTAGAAAAGTCCATATCCCATGGGGCACCTGGGTAGTGTAGTCGGTTAAGCGTTCGACTTGATTTCGGCTCAGGTCATGATCTCAGGGTCATGAGATTGAGCCCCACACTAGGCTCCATGCTCAGCAGGGAGTCTGCTGGATATTCTCTCTCCGCCTCTCCCCGCTTTCTCTCTCTCTCAAAAAACAAACAAACAAACCTCCATATCCCAGACAATCAAAATGTACTGTAACAATAATGAGGAGATTATGTGGATAAGACTTTACGTTGGGGCATCCTTCAGGTTTCTCATCAGTCTCCATCCTGAGGATCTCCTAAATAAAACTGTAACTGGCTTGGCTCTTAAAACTTGGCTCTTAAATGTGATTCATGCATATTTTTGGACACTCGGCATTTTATTATGCATAACTCATCATTTACTGCTGACAAAATATGCCTTTGTTATCATTTCTGGGAAAATACTTTGGTCGAGAAAAGATTTTTCCTGAGGTTAAAATCAAATTCATCATCCATGAGCGGGAGTGCAAGCTGTTATAAGACTAAAGACAGTTGAAAGCAAATTTCCATAGTATTATTTCTGAGTAGGGGTTTTTTTTTTTTTTAACCTCTATTTTGAAATAATTTCAAATTGAAAGGGCTACAAGGCTACTATAAAGACCGCTCATATATTCTTTCCCCAGCTTTACCATCTGTTCAAGTTTTGCCACGTTATTTCCCCCTCTACATACGTATTAGGAATTCTCATGAGAAAATAAGTGATAGACAACCTGCTCCCTTTCCTTAATACTTTCAGTGTATGTTTCTTGACAAGAACAAGATCTTTCCTTACAAGACAACTATCAAATTTGGGAAATTTAACATTTATACCATACTGTTATCTAATCTATAGTTCCATATTCAAATTTTGTCAATTCGTTCTGTAAATTCCTAAAATGTAAAAGCAAGCACACAGTTTTTTTTAAGTTTATTATGTTTAGTAATCTCTATAGCCAATGTGGGGCTCACACTCACAACTCTGAGATTAAGAGTCGCACACTCCACCGACTGAGCCAGCCAGGCGCCCACACAAATTTTCAGCTAGTTTCTTCTGCCTGTGCGCCAATGTTTTGCGACAACGGGTCTACCATACATACCAGTTAGTACAAATACCTTTGCCAGCTCCCATCCACAGCTTTTATTATTTACCCCCCTTTTTTTGAGAGAGAAACAGAGCGAGTAAGAGCAGGGTCCACGCAGAGCTGGACAGAGGGCTCGCCTGAGATCATGACCTGAGCCGAAATCAAGAGACGTTTAACTGACCGACCGAGCCACCCAGGCACCCCTATTATTTACCCTTTTAAGAGCTATAAAAGAAAGAAGAGAAATGATCTTAAATCTTACCCTTATAATGAAGGAAACATGAAAGATGTTTTCCACTGTTCGGGGGAAAGAATGTGGATCAACCACAAAGTCAAAGAAGGACATAGGAGTATCAGCTATAGACAAAAGAGGAAAAAAAATTCTTCAAAACAGGAAAGATGATTTTTGCCAATTAGTAAGACCAATATTCTGTGTTAGCAGAGGAAGGAAATGGGCACTCAAACTTTCGCGGGAGTGAAAACTGATTTAGCCCTTCCGGGGGGCAATGTAACATACCTATTAAAAATATGTATGTCCACTGATCTGGCAACCCGCCTCTCAAAATCTGTCCTACAGAAATATCAGCGTGTGTGCACAAAGTTGTGTACCCAGATTTCCCACTGCAGTGGGTTTCACAAGAATAAAATGCTACAAAGAACTTAGTCGTCCACCCACGGAGGACACAGCCATACGATGGGAATCACTGAAGAGAATAAGGGGGATCTGGATGTACGGATATGGAAGAATGTCCACGTGGAAAACTCATGGTGCAGAAGAATGTATTATGATTAGCTTTGAAAAAAGCAAAAAACCAACAAAAATCCCCAACTTACTTATGTGCAAAGTCACGTGACGGACATAAACGTAAGATCTGAAAGTATACAAGCACATCATACAGATGGCTGCCTCTGGGGAGCGAGGGAACAGGTACTCAGCTCTACCCCTTCTATGGCACCTTTTATTTTGTAACAGAGAAAATACCCCATCTTTTAAAAGCAAGAATGGAAAGTTACTTTGCCAATACTCTCACATGGGATTGCTAAAGGAGAAGCTGAATTAAACACACATGCCAAAAAAGAATCAAAATGATTCAAACATTACATAAAACTGAAAATGCTTTTTAAAAAAAATAACTTCTGACTGCGAGTGATGTGTGTCTAACTGATAAATACAAATTGCTTTACTTTGAACTTGGTATCATACTTACGATCTTCTCGAAAATACGTTTGCAACAATCCCAAAATTCTTTCCACTTCTTTTTCTGTTGCTTCTTGATGAGATTCTTCCATTTCATTTAACTGAAAATATAAAGTCATTACCAAGCAGACTGACCTACTTGCCTGCTCATTCACGTTTTCTGCTCTCTGACACATCTAAACTCCTCTAGCTGTCTTTTACTGGGGGACTGCTAGCAGTTTTTATCCTCATCTTAAAATTTCAAGTTAAAAAAAAGATTGTCTAGTTTCAGTAACATTTTTTATATTAACTTTTTAATGGAGGAGTAACATTACCAAATCAACCATTTTCAGGTTGAACATAAATAGCAAAATACAAATAGCGCAGTTTAGAATAGTGATTCTCAACTGAAAGTGATTTTGCCTCCTGGGACATCTGCCACTATCTGGAGATGTTTTTGGTTGTCACAACTGGGAGGGGAGGCTACTGGCCCCTAATGGGGAGAAGCCAAGGATGCTACAGAGCATCCTACAACACACCCGACAGCCTCTCACAACAGAGAAGGATCCAGCTCCCAATGTTGATGGTGCCGAGCCTAAAAACCCCTGGTTTGGGAGAACTGATCCAAACTACAGACATGAATTAAAACTAAGACAAGGGGTTAATCCAATCAAATGTTTAAAAGCTGCAATTATTTAAGTAATTATTTAATGAACCAAACCTGACTCTAGACCCTAAAGCTTGGAAAGATGGCCAGATTGCCCGTATATTGTATGAATAGCTGCTGTAACCTGAGGTGTTTTTAAAAAACAAACCTGGTCAGGCATTGTCTTCTTCTCTTCTGTCGTGGGACCTTTTCTTGGACGATCACTTCGTGGCTTTGGCACAGGGAACTCTCCTTGTATTGAACCCAACCTAATGAAAAATATGCTTTCATGTCTTTTTTTATTTGTTTTTTAAACAAACTGGTTGCACTAACTGGAAGCAGTTCCCACGGAAATGGTCGAATTCAGACCAGGCTCCAGTGATATACGAACTGACATTGGACCAAAACTCTT